TTCCCTCATACTCATAATCTAGCTTATTTCTAGAAGAAATATTTTTAACTTTTAATTGTACTTCTTTTATAATGCTATGGATAAACTGAAATTCTTAAATCTTCCGGGATTTATATTCTGCGTTTGTTTTGTTTCCTTCTTTATCCGACTTTTTAGAGTTTCTTTCGTTATCTACTACTATAACATCTTGCCAGTAACAAACTGTGTTTTTTGTAACACTATTTAAGATAGATATTATAATCGAATTAAAATTAAAATATATTTATCATTTACATTTATTTGTATTTAATTATCTATCAAATGAAATATTTTACGAGTAAAATTCACAAGACATGATAATTTCATTATCAGCTATTAATTGTTACTCTAATGTAAATAAGCCTTAGGATTAAAAAATAACCTTTGTTACCCAGATATGAATGAATATTTATTTATATTTAGTGTTAAAATGTAAAAGCTAAAGGAATCAATTGCAAAGATCCTTTGGTTATAATAGACGACTTGAGTAATTTAATCAGCACAAGTAGTGCTTCGAAAATCTAAAGATCACTACAATCAAAAAATTATCGATATCCATAAAAATAATTAAATTATAAATTATTCGAGTACGTTTCAGTTAAAGTACAAGTGCACTTGGGCATCGAAAATAAATTCAAGTGTTTAGAGAAATAGAGTACGGGCATTCGGTTCATTACACAAATGGCCAATTCTTTGTTGTCGAGAGCTGATCACTTGCTAGCACTCAAATTACAAAACTAAATATTTCCTTGTCAAACAAGCGGGATAGAATGCATAACAAACTGTAGACTCATAGTGTCAATCTTTCTCAAGTTTGTCAAAAGAAGTTGGGAGAAGCGAGCGCGCAGAAGCAATTGCAAACCAAGAGCCAAATATCTGGGAGAGAAACGAGGCGAAGAAGCAGTTGCTCGGCGTTGCATTTACAACGGGAATTCAAACATTCGGCTGGGGTTTGTCGGCTTGGTGTGGAGCGGCTGCTAGTTGGGATAGATATATAGATAGAGATAAAGAGAGAAGGAGAGAGAGAGAGAGAGAGAGAGAGAGAGAGACTACGACGATGGTTAGGAAACTCTCCTCGCTCTCTCGCTCTCTCTCTCTCACTCTCTCTCTCTCTCTCTCTCTCTCTCTCTTTCACTCTCTCACTTTCTCTCCCCGAACGCACCGAGTTAAAGAGACGCTGACGCGCCTTCGCCCAAAATTACGCGAAAGAAAAACAGATTAATTTCGTCCATCGCTCATGGGAATTCTCGGTAACTAGTGGAGCAGCGTGGCCACCGCTCGTCGTCAACTATGCGCAACTCGCATTTGTCTACATGACGATGGCGAAGCGGTTGTGAGGGGAGGGGGGAGATACACCAAGAATTAGAATGGCGCCGCTGCGAACGCCGACGCCGCCGCCCCCGCCGCTTTATTCGAATGAGAGGCAAACGTGGCTAGGATGCTGAGTCCTTGTGGTGGGGGCAAATGAGATTATAAGGAGAGTGTTGAAAGGTGCGTAAGATTTTAGACGTCAATTCGAGTGCTCCTCTAGTTACGCTTGTTTTATCGTCACTTTTATGTATTATCGTTGATGACATAGTAAGCCTGGATATTTCATTTTGTCTCGTACATGGTCATTATCGGAAATTCAATGCTATTTTAAGACGTTACAGAGTTAATGGTGATACATAGAAATATTTTTTTAGAAAAATTTGTTGAAACACTGAATGCTTATTATTATTATGTTTTTTTTTTAACCATGAATAAATAGTAGCATTTTCAATTTGTATTGAATAACAAAGTTACGTTAATTATACAATTAATTAAATAATAAATGTGATTTAATTAAATAATAAATGTGATTTAAAATTTATTGCTAAATGCGTCATTCTATTTTCTTTCCATATATATTTGTATCGCGTCCTATATAGTGTTTTGTCTCCGTTATATTTATGCGTGAATTATTAATCTTTACGCCAATATTTCAAATTATGTTAAATGTAAGGATATACTACTTTTAAACTTATGATTGTATATTTTAACTTTGAGACGTAACCTAATTAAAACATTTTATAAAATTATCTAGTTTGCCATAGAATTTATATTTTCTGAAGTTATATTTTAAAATCCGATTTATCAATGTAGTTAAAAAAGTTTTACTTGTCAATAAAAGTTCTATTATAGATAGTCATCCCCATAATAAATTCTAAAATATTTACTCTTTATACATAACTTTTTTACAATTTTCATTAATTATAATCATCTCATTATTATTAAAGTCAATGTTCAATATTAATCAGCTATATTTGCTATTGAAAATATTACTCGCTTTTATCATCTATATACATACACACCTATGTATATATATATATATATATATATATATAACCATTTCTGTCCTTAAGAATCTTTTCGACCGACAGCCTCAAATCGTTATTTTTCACTTCCATTTTTCACATTTTTCCTCTTCCCTTGCAGCTAAAGTAAACCTCGTACGTCATTTTCCTTTTGTAACGTCCTCGAGTCATCTCTCTTTTACGTTTTCTTAAGCGCACTGCCTTGTCTTTGCTTTCGACTGAGGCCAAGAGCTTTCTACAGAGAAAATTTCCACGATGTTCTTTTGACTGTACGACTTTGGTGCAGAATACGCTGAAGTGAATTGTACTTTGAAGGCTTCGCATTCCATAGGTCTTCAGACTCCATGGATTAATTCATTTGAGATAAATTCGAGGAACAATGACAGTCAACGTCTATTTTACAATATAATTTTCTAAATAATTTTCAGTACCGGTACGAGGTGAGTTTATCGTTTCAACAGATGCTATTTGCTTTTCGCGTTTTCATTTTCAGCCCTGAATATTTGTTTATAATATTTGTCTTATAACGGGCCCTCGAATCATAAATTTCATGATTATTTTTAAACTTTCTATCGTAATTCTTAATCCACCTTTTTCTTGCATAATGTGAACTATTTGTAAAAATTTTTCTTACTTTTGTAAAGCGAGAGTGGCTTTATGCGAATTTAATGATGCAAACAACACATTGCTTTCAGTGTCCCGAAAAGGGACAAGAGAATTTAATTTATTATACCTCGGGTAAGAGTGGCTCGTGTAATCTGCGCTTAAAGAAGATAAGAGGATGTAAGTGGAGGAGGAATTTAGACTAACACATCATCCGAACGTGAGTAGGCTCATTAACATAAGTAGATTTGATTAAAATTACTCGCGTAAACGATGTTTCTGCAAAAATTGCGCTGGCGTAAGAGATTCTAAGCGCTGTTAATGCGCGCGATGATAATAATAAATTAACGGACATTGATTAATTATCGAGTCACCTTAATCATTATATCCGAGCAATAACTTGCCTCAGGCCGAAAAACGTCATCGAACTCCCACTCGTGTCAGTCAGCCCAGCGTAAGCTCGCCCGTGCTTTAAAACAATCATAATCCAAATGACGTTTGGGAAAAACATTTTCACGAAAATTTAATTATGAATTCGTGGAATACTTAGGAGTCTCGGAAATTTCATGGCGCCGTATACGGTGAAGCGCGACATCGTGAATTTCCATTTGATCGGATTAGAATTTCATCCAGAGCCTAGCGATCGGCGCCTCGCACGTACACTCCGTCTATACACGAAGTTGGCTCGATGCGTTGGCTTTGCTAGCGGGAAGATGGCGACAAGGCCCCGCGCCCCGAAAGAAAGGCAACACCCGCAAATTCTAGCTGACAAGCAGCGGAGGCCCGGGGAACAATTAAAAGCCACCGAGGCGCCCGATAAGCCGATTAAAGGCTCGCGAAACGAGGGGGACAGGAGCGAGGATTCGACACGTGCCGCGCAGTCGCCGTCCTCGCGCCCACCCACCCAAACGCGTGTCTGTCGCTCGACGGCTCACGCGAGCTTCCCATTAAAATTCGATCAGATAATCTTATTTGCTCTGCGATTAGGGCGAATATTCTTCTAGCGCGGGAGTGAACGGGAGCACGCGCATAAATTAACCGGCGATTAACATTTTCACTTGTAATGCCTCCAGACTCTTTCTATTCTTGTACCCCTTTTACCCCGTCCCAGCCAATGGAACCCTGGCGTGTGCGTCTACGTTGGTCACTGGGTAGCTTAGCTCGCCGAGCCAAGCAAGTGACGGAAGCGTATGGTGAATGTAATTTATTTACAGCTAAAAGAGTAAGCTCGGTTAATTTATTCGCTTGGACTCGAATTTTTTAGCCACTGAAATCCTCGTACTTTGGTGAAAATTAATGAATGCCTCTTAATTACATCAAAGCTCTCTCTCTCTCTCTCTCTCTCTAATTCGTTCAAAGACTGTACTTTCGCTTCGGATATCCTTTAAATGCACTGTGTCCCTATGTCTGTATAAAATGACAAAGATTATCGATGCACGATATATGAGCATATTCATTCAATTATAATAACGAGCGCGAGAAAGCATTTAAAAATTGTCTAAATTATAAACATTCGAACTATATTAGATATTATATTGGTAACTGCATTGGCTGGCTTTAGTTTATCCAGGTGCCCCAGCACTCGATCTTAATATACAAGACGATAATTAAATTGTAATTATTAAATGCCATTCCGTAAGTGGTGAAATTTAAGTTAATTATAGGGGATATCAGGTAAAATGTTCTCGAGCTAAAAGACGTTCATGTCAGCTTAAAAAATCGAGTTTTCGCTCGTAAAAAATTAAAGGATACCATCCACTGTGGGGAAAATAATTATAAAACACTGCCGAATGCGCGCTACATCATTCACCGACGGAGAAGACATTAACTCTCCGGCCAGTTATACAAAATATTAAAAAGCCACGGATCTCGACAGCATTACACATTTTACGCCCTGTACTTCGTTATAATTTTCCGCGCCTCCCTCTTTTATTCAGTAACGCCGCCGCCGCCGCCCCCGCCATTATCATAAAGTCGCACTCTCAGCCTCTTACAACGGAATGCGCGCAAGCAACGGGGCTAAGGAGCGTATGAGTGTCTTACCTGGTGTACGGGAGCTGAAGGCTCGGGCGCCTCCCGCGATGATTAGAATCAGCAGCAGCGGCCATAATGAGGCTGCTCTCCGGGATAACGGCATCTTTATGCCGTACTCGCCCTCACTGTAGTCGCTACTTCTCCCCCGTCTCCTCCACCTCTTCCTCCTCCTCCTCCTCCTCCACGACACAACTACACGGGGTTCTAGCCGACACCCCTCATCACCCGCCTTCGCCTGCGAAAATATTTGGAAAGATTAAACGATCTCCTACTTTATCCGGCCATCTGTGTACGGTGGAGGGATGGGGATGGGAACAGTGCATTAGAGGCTGTGTAAGTCGCACCACCTTGCTCCACACAATTTTGCGCTTTATATTCAATGAAACAATGCGAAATACAGTGCTATTGAAATCAATTTCAATCGCAAAAATTTACTATTCCTACTAATTTCTATTCAGAATTTTTTTTTCTCTTATTCAATCTATTTTGCAACATCGCCTTTCCTTTCGGGAATTTTATGGGAATATTATTTCTCAGCAGTTGCCATTGAGATAGATCCTTATTTAAATTTTTTAATTACAACCAATAACTTATGTTTTCAATACATATATATATATATATATATATATATATATATATATATATATATATTCATATATATATATGCATATGCATATGTATATGTACATGTACATGCACATGTACATGTATATGTACATGTATATGTATATGTATATTATATTATGTTCTCGTTAAAAGTGTTAATATAGTTTCGATTAAGTGCAGCCTCGCGAAACTCATCTTTGACCTAATGGAGCTTTTGCACAGTATTTTAAAGACTTATTAAAGTATCAGTAAAAGATGAGCCATAATAAAATGATTCATTTAAAGATCGGGATAAATTTAAAATCTGTGGTATAATATTTTAAAGCTAATATTATACGTCTAATTAATACATTAAATTTTTATAAGAAATAAAAGTATTAATATGTCGATTAAATTGATACATTTTTTATATGTTCCATTATAAGTGTGCGGCTTAAATAAATAATAAAATAAATATTAGAATTGACGATAATTTACGAAGATAATTAATTTTTAAAAACTTAATAATGACGATTAAACTTTTAATGCTATATACGCTATTCAGTGAAGTTATTTTTTGTATTTTTTTTTCTTCTTTTTTTTTTCGAAAACATTTATATTAAGAGGAAATACCTGAAAGCCTCAAATTAATTACTTTCTTGCACATTAGATTTTCTCAACTTTTCTAACCACGGCAATAAGTTTAGTATAGAAATATTGCAACGCGTTATGAAGGAGTGGTTGACTTTTGTAATTTAACGTGCTAATGGAATTTTAAAAAAATTACAGCAACCTAAATTTATCGATAATAATGGTTTCGAGGCTATCATAAGCAAATACTTATATAAATGTAATTTATAATTTATAAGGAATAAAAAATTAAACATTGAAGTATATATTTTGTTTAATAAGTTTTTTCTTCTAAAATAGTACAGATGATACAATGTGAATATTGCTATTATAATGAAAAGTTTATTTATTTAAAATATATAAGCGTAAATTTGTCCTCCTCGTTTAAATTTCGTCGTTTTTGTACGTTTAGAAAAAAAAAGAGTTTCTTTTTATCGATAACTTTAAAAACCTATTCTTAAAATTGCAGATTGCAAATGTTTTAATATTAAGAAGCTCTCTTAATATTAATGCACCGTATTAAATAAATTTTCAAATAAATCAATGATTCCTGAACTTTTCAAAAACCTTTGAATTCCTCGACAATCATTTGAATTCTTAATTTTTGGATATTCGATGCAGAAACTACTCGAAGCACGGTATTCGCAATCGTAACAATTCATTTATTATTAATGCACGAAGAGAAATATTTGATTAGAAAAGCGCATAAGATATTTTGTTTCGTCCTTATCCGTATGGATCTTCTTAAGTGTAGTATCTAGACATCCCGAAACCTCATTTGTCTCAACATTATAATTCGACGATTCGTTCGGCAGAGGCAAAAAGAATAAAATGTTAATGAGGTCGGCACTGATATTGCTTCTGGTGCTGCAGTTGATTGCAAAGCCGTTAAAAGAAGGGTGCGAGAGGAATGAGAGCTTAAATTGATAGTGTCCTTGGAAATGCGCGGCAGCCTTTGACGATTTTCTCGTTTTGCTTGCTTCTCTTGTATGTCGGGCGAGTCAGCCAAAGCTAATTGCTGCTCAACGCCGCGAGTAATGATGGCTCGCGGAAGGGGTTAAGAAAAGAACGAGAAAAAGGGAATGGCAAATAGAATGGCTGGGCTGAGAAGGGGTATAACTTGCAGGATATCTTTGAGAAAAAAGAGTTAAAAAGTTGGAAGAAGGAAGAAAATGAAGAAGATGAGGAGGCAGACACAGCAATTATTTCGGCGTTCATTAATATTTAGCATATTAAAGTATAAGGCAAAATTTTATTTCTCCAGCTAGTTCTCCTGAAATAATTCCATAATATATTATGATATATGCCTCGAAGGATTATTATTTAAATAGATAATTTACGAATTTTAGTTATGAAATTTTATTTGACTATGTCGATTTTATATCCAATCTAATCACATCAATTTACCAATTTCCGCGATTGATTGTTAAAGGTTTGAAAAGACTTTCAACGCGGTTTCATGTAAACTAGTATGGAAGCCAAAATTGAGCTACACATACATTAGAGACATTTTGTATAAAAAAAAAAATAAAAAAATAAAACGTTCTTACGTTAATAATAAATAATAATTTGTAACAATAATACCATACTATATCATCTTTATTATGTTTATTTAGATTTAATAAAATTAATATATTAATAAAGTAGCTATAAAGTGTGTAACGATTAAAATTAATCCAACTATTTATATTTTCTTTTTCCTCTAAAAATGGAATTTTATAATGTTTTCCTTACGTCTCTCGAATAAACTTTAATTTTAAACGAAGTCAATAATTATACATTTCTCGAGAAAAAAAAAGCAATTGCAACCAGCATTTGTATAGCATGAAGTATGACGTTATATCGGTTGACTTTGCGTTGCTCTAAAATATGAATTGCAAATTATATAAATATTTTATTTCTCTTTACGAGAAGCCAGAATGCGAACGGAGAATATTCAAATGTTAGAAATCTCTTAGTTCGTGTATTATAAACCACAACGAAATAGTAAATTTGTTCAGATAATCAATTTCATTTCATTTGTTGTGCAACATTGTAAAATCAATGATTAGGTCTGAGTGACCCCAGGCTTCTAATAACCTAACATCTCGTGTGGCAATTCGCGTGAAAAAATAATCAATTCTACATATACTTATTTAGATATTTTCAGGTAAATAAATAAATGTATACAAGGATTGAATTAAATGAGAAGAATAACACAATAAATACTGAAAGCTGATTTAAACTTGAGACAAAAATTTTAATTTAATTCGTTATATAATAATTAATAGAAATCTTAATGATTTTGAGGTAAAAATTCTATTCAGTACATCGATAAAATCTTCTTAAAAAATAAATTAAGATAATAATAATAATAATAATAATAAGAAGAAGAAGAAGAAGAAGAAGAAGAAGAAGAAGAAGAAGAAGAAGAAGAAGAAGAAGAAGAAGAAGAAGAAGAAGAAGAAGAAGAAGAAGAAGAAGAAGAAGAAGAAGAAGAAGAAGAAGAAGAAGAAGAAGAAGAAGAAGAAGAAGAAGAAGAAGAAGAAGAAGAAGAAGAAGAAGAAGAAGAAGAAGAAAAAAGATTAAATATAGCAAATAAGAATGCTTGACACGATAAACTCGAGTAAGTTATAAAATTTGATAACTCACTGAAATCTATAAGAGTTGATAATCGAAACACAGGTTCATCGTACAAAGAAACGTTTTGTAAGCAATGAGCGATGCAATCGAGATTAAAAATGTAACTTCACTCGACAATGCAAATGCTCCTTGTTTCAGATTTCTATCGGCTCTTCAAGAGAAAAAAAGTGCGGATAGCTCAATTGGATTAAATAAACCAGAAATAGCATTTCTCACGAGAAGGAAATAATAGTCGCGGAGTGGGGATAAGGATAGGACGATATTCTATCGCTGATATCGTAACTCCGGTAATAGCCCGTTGTCAAAATAAAATTACTTCTACGGACGATTTTTCATTCTTAAAATCGCCACTCAAGTGCTGCGGTCTTGGCGAAGAAGGGAAGCGGCCAGCGGTGGTGTCGGGCTTCATCGATCTCTCGACTCGCAAAGGCAACGAAGCAGGATTTTACCTGTTGCTACAACGTCAAACGCTGATTCTGTATTACTCGCTCTTCTTTCGCTCTCTATATCTAGCTCTCTACCTCTCACTCTCTGATGTGTTTGTTGCCCTTTGGGTTAGACGCGGTTAATGAAACATTATATTACACGGCTTTGTATAATTTTGATATTGTCGGGAGGATTGAATAGGTTGACCTTGCATTAATGAGAGGATAGGACCAGCCATTGTCTTTTCTTCACTTATTTATATATTTTGAGGCAATACTAGTAGTTTGTAAAAAAAAAAAAAAAAAAAAAAAAAAAAAAAAAAATATATATTGCCCTTCTGGATTTTCGGGATCTAATGAATGTTAGATAAAATGATCGCCTCGTCACTCACAAATGCAATAAGAAACTTACTTGGAATTAAATTTTCGCCTAAATATCATATAGCCACAATATTAGTGATATAATTTTCACAAATTATAAGTATAATATATTTGTGGTGAAAGTTGTAAACATTTTTAAAAATCAAATAAATAACAATCTCAACTGCCCTGTACACTGACATACAAACTTCAAAAGAAACATACATATTTTAACGAGAAGAGTATTGGAATACGTTTATAATTGAAAAAACTAGGGATACAGATCCTCGATAAATTGCGGATTAAAATTGCCGAATAAAAACAGCAATAGTGTAAAAAGCACAAAGCTCACATTGCGGCTGGATAAATTTTTCGATTTTCTCTCACATTCAATGAATTTAACACATATATACGTATATATATAGAAGTAATGAAAAAGCTTTAAGCGAAGCATATTCATAAAAGAAAGAAAAGAAGGATGAGGATAGAGAAGAGGAGAGCGAAGAAGTGAAAAATGACGAAGGACAAGACTTCACGCGTTGCTGTGGCTCGGGGGTTGGTATGGTATGGATGTCTCTCTAACTCTTTTCTCGGGTTACCATTATGC